AGCATGAGAGGGGGGAGGGCCAGAGGGAGAAGCAGACTCCCTGCCGAGCAGGGAGCCCGATGCGGGACTCGATCCCGGGACTCCAGGATCATGACCTGAGCCGAAGGCAGTCGCTCAACCAACTGAGCCACCCAGGCGCCCCACCTAATGGTATTCTTATTTTTTTCACTACCGTATTGCTAGCTCTGCACTACCTCCCCGGGCAAGTATTTACTGAACGGCTGATTCCCAACATGCACCTGTATCTGCGCTGTCAGCCGCGACGAGCGTCACGTGACAGGCCAGGACGGCTGAATACTCCCTTCCCGGACCTCAAATACCTACATCTTAAATTAAACGAAAAGAAAATAATCTTATTTTTTAATTTTCATTACATTAACAAAGCAGGATAATTAGAAAAAATATAAAAACAAAATGAGGAACAAGGTGAAAACCATCAGGAACTCCACTTCTAGAGACTCCGTTGTTTTTGCAAAGTGTTTGTTTTGAGTACATCGTGCCCGTCCCGAGGCAAAGCACTGCAGACGGAGCAATAATCAAATATATTCCCTCTTGTCCTTTAGTTGCAGCACTTACTCTCCAACGGCATATGGGTTGTATATCTACTATCTTCTTCTCCATATATATTTTTCCATGCATATATTTATTTTTAAATGGCTGCTTAAACACTGTCTTGTAACCAGCTGTTTTTTTTTTCAGTATCTTGTGAACATCTTTCTCTGTCAATAAATATGCACGCACAGAAAATCCTAATTGTAAACAAACACCCCCTTCAAACATCTGCCTTTCTCTTTCTCATCTCTTAAGCTCCTTTACATCCTTATATGTGCAAGGCCTTGCCAGGTAAACAGATAAAAAGACATTTTTTCTAGATTGGCTGTCAATACTGAATTTGCAGGGGAGAAAGGTATCGCCACGTATTCTGGAAGACAACTGAATTTGATGTTATCATTCTTTTGAGCATTACAATCTTATTTCTTATTTCAAGTATTCCTACTTCTCCTTTTGTTGTCGTTGTTTTGCTTAAATGGCCGCAGAAACCCATACCAA